TTGAGTATTTTAAGCAAAGATGCAACTTTAAAGAATTTGCTGCTATATGGTTGTTGTGCAGGTGTGAAATGTTTAAAATTCAAAAATCTTCTTGTTAAGTTGTTTGCTAAGCTAAGCGACTCTCCAGCTTACTACCGAGATCCAATAAGCATACGAGATTCACTCTCTTGTGACTGGTCCGGCATCAATGCATGCAGCGATGCCTTATCAGTAACTGAAAATGCCTTTGTTACTTGCTTGCATGTTAGTAGTAAACTTATTGTAAACTAAGTGTCTTAAATATACAAAGTGATAAAACTTGTTTTTTTTATCTTTATTTTTTTATTTGATTTTGATTTGTGTTTTTTAGAGGGGCAGGAGCATTTAAGACACAGAACATCCCTTGAGCACAGACGATGTACTGCTAACAAAAAACATGAATATCGCTTGGTTTCAACACCACCCTCTGCTGAACACACAATAAAATCAATAAAATAATAATCTATTAGTACTATTTTTAGAAACAAAATCAGAAGAAAATACCTTTCCACACCGGATGGGTGCGAGTGGTTCTTGATCATCGTCAGCATTTAGCATCTCGACTTCAAATAGGGTATTTTTCAGGCAATTTTAAACTGCCTATTTTTGCAACGCATGTTGAGGGAAAAATAGAACTGGAGATAGAAGGCACTGGACCCCTAGTTGACTGATTTTATTAGCACCTAAGATTGTTAATTCCAGACATAGGGCTTAACGGGGGTAAATGGTAAAATTTACAAATCAAAGAGACGTCAGCCGACACATGCCAGAGATCTGGTTCCGGACATTTTAAAATAGCTAATTACGGACTTTGACCCAATCACGTTTGAAGAGATTTAGTCAATGTATATGTACAGCTCTGTATATATACATTGACTTAACCATAATAGAAGATCCTCTATTTATTATTCACTTAGGTACAAATGTCAGCCCTGAGCGTCACAAAAAGAGTGTATAATACTACTATCATACTGAGAAGGTATAAAATCAATAAAAAGTGTGTGTTTCTAGCAAAGTGACTGCATGAAAAGGGGAAATATTATATTTGTCTAATTTTCTTTGTAGTTGAGCACCAATCACTGTTGTTAATCATACTACCCAAGGCTTTAGTAGGATAACTGCAAACTAGGGGAACCAGATACTGGAGTATGTTATGTTAGACCAACCATTACACATACGAGTACAACAAGAAAATTGGGTAGGCTTTCTCTACAGCAACAAATAACATATATCGAATTCTGCAATTTGTCCCAATAGGTTTATAGTATTGTATGATATAGGGTCATATAGATGGAGAAAAATGGTTGAAAGTCCAAAAGCACAGACTCGGATTCAAGAGCCAAAAAAGACTTTCAAAGCATCTGGAATTGAGTGTTTCTTCAAATTGTCTTTCAACTCTTTCAACTTGTGCCTTGAATCTGACGGGTAAGGATCTACAGAAACCAAGATAGGATAATCAACTTATTGTAATCTATCTCCAATGTAAAACAAATGTTTTATTCTTAGCAATGAAACTCTGTCCATCATAGAAGACGTAAATGAGACAAGTTCAAGTATTAAGTTTTTCCAATTAAATTTGCAATGCAACATTTTCATGTATATTTCTATCATTTATTGGGTGATTTTGCAACAAATTGACACCATTTATTTATTTCCTTGATCAAAATTTTATAGATTTATAATGTTAAATTTAGTGTTCGAAGCATTAATCAAGCTAAGGCCCTTATAATCAGATATTGAATGGTTATGGTGATGGTATAAACATGACAATCCTAGCTTAACATTTAGCTCGCTTAAACATTGCCTAATGCTAGCTTAGCCTGCATTCAAAACCACCATACATCTATAATTGTGCGGGTTAATCTGCCTGAATATGTTTCATTTTAGTAACATGGGTAAATACTACAAAGAATAAATTGAATTATTGATGACAATGAAAGACCAGTTTAGTTGAGTTATGTTTCAGTTTAAATGTGGAACTCATCAATTTTGAATTAAAAAATGTACAAACCTTGAGGGCTGACGCTGACTCTAGTTGGGGATTGACTGTAACAAGTTATCATAGACCAGCTTGACCTCAATGGGAGTAGGAACTCTTCTGCTTTTGGCAATTATAAACTGCATGTAGTCAAAGGAGTAACAGGAAGATAATTCCCCATCTAAATGAGCACCATGGAACTCCTACAAAAATCAGGTCCAAGAAGCATTAGAACTTGTTTTTGTCTTATTGGATATCATTGTATATCTTTCATATCATAAGGTACAGGGTGCCATAATTTGAGGGTTTTGTACAAGGTATATGTATCATATCCTAATGTGAATATATAGAACCATTGTGATTTTTGTAAGATTTTAGAAAACAATGTTGATAGCAAGAAAGTGCCACTAAATTCCAAAATCTTGCTGGTTTTATATAACAAGTGCTTGGATTAAGAAGACATAATAAAAAGTCACGACAAGAAACGGTCCTTGTTGTTTTTAATGAAAGTGAGTATTTGAGTGCATGTGTATATATCTGCACATTGTACGTTTCATTATACATAAATGAAATTTTGCAAAATGTATTATTAAATGGCTCGCTCAGGAAAATCTTTGTTATGCAACAGATATGAACCAAATCCATCATGAATACTTGAAATTGTTATTATTGACACTTTAATGACAGACATGTTACAAACTGTACTGATATAATCATGACACAAATGCTCATAAATATGCATTTTCGCATCTTAAACCGGATTGTGGAGAAAATGCACGTCTGATACAATGTTTGAACTTGATCAGTGCAGGCTGAGGTGAATCCATAAGTCCTTGTTTTTGAACTACATCTAAACAGGCACTAATAAAACAATTTTTTTCTGGGCATTAAGGCAAACTTTAGTCGGTTTATTGAATGACTAGTCAGTTTTTTTGAAAAAAATGGGCAAATATCGACTCGCAAAGGGTGTTTTGCATGCAGCTGAGAACATTTGCTTTCAAGTAAACTAAGTTAAATTTTACTTGCATTTCATAACAAACAAAGAAATTGATTTAGAAAAACAAATAAGTTATTAATCTGTGAAATAGACCCGATGACTGTGATGTTTGCTAAAGCAGTGTGTTTGCATTTGAAACTTTCTCTATACTTGTAATTATCAGAAAAACTTATTCCAATGCACATTGGGCCATTCCAGTT